ACCCCAGGCTCCAACAACAAAACTGTGAAAACATCGAAGCTTCACTCCATAACGAACCTAGGAGTAACTCGTACAACTCGGATACTTCAATCCAAACACCTCCTTTGTATTTAATATGACGGTGTCGAAGGGTAGCTTGCAGGAAAGAACAATCAGAAAAATCCTGCAAAGTCCTTGGAATGATCATCATCCCTACCGAACTATACCGTCGGTTCAATGGTTATAGGGGAACTAAAATAAAACCTACGCTGAGCGTTACTTTAGACTCGGCAAAAGTTGTTAACGAATTCCATTTTGCATTCCAGAGACCCTCAGTTAAACTTTCCTACTTGGACCCAGTAAAATATCCAATATCTTTCGCAGGGTAATATAAACCTATTGATTTCTTTCGGTGTGGTTCCAGTTGTTTGATACAGTCTAATGGATAACTTTCCAGCAACTCGACTGCACGAGTTCTACAGATTTGTTTAGTAACATGTATATCCCGTTGTTATGAATGCACGTAAACATGTCAGTTTGATATGCCTGAACTATTACGAGTTCACCATAGTCGGAAAACAAGGGCTAGGATTAACGATCTGGCGACACGACATGCTACTGTAATCCGATTGTCCCAAACCCCCACTGAGTAAAGAAAGAAGACTTGTTATGGAATGGAACATATATTCTACAAACTTCCATAAAGCACGAGGTCCGGGTCGTAAAACGTTATAAAGAATTCGTATTTATACAGTTATGTCGAATAGGAAACAACATGGAAATCTGTGACATTGACAGTAATGACGATCAGTAGGAAACAACATTTAATGCGAGATTGATAGTCAGGAAGATGAATGGTAAACAGCAGTGAAGTACGTGACACTGACAGCTAGGACGACCCCTATATGGACCAGTAAGAATCGGCCAATAGAATTAGACTTACAAAAATAATTTACTTAGGATACTTGATGAATATCCTAACACCTGTGATTTGAGCGAGTGCATTTTTCTCAGGACAGTATGGTTATTCAACACCAGCATTTATCACGTCACCGGGCTGGAGATCAGTCGGTTGAGATTTAATAGTAAGAAGAGGAACTTTTTGAATAAATAAAGAAGTTGATAAATTGGCATTGAAGATTGTGCGAGAGAACCAAAATGTAAGCAAGGGAGCGCCAGGTACGACAAACTATTATCAGTTCGAGCAGCAGCTAGGACACTGAAAGGCACTGAAGAATAAACCAGTATGATGGTTCGCGAAGTGTCTGAGCTAGTTAATGACATGTTGGATGAAGCTCACGCCCATGAAGTTCAACGGTGGCGGTCACTATCATGTAGCATGGGCCCTCACACTGTAGTGGCAACCATCGTCTGCCATCTGCCTCGTCCTTTACACGTCACGACTATTAAGTATTCCCGTCTGATGACTTTGAATTTCGGAAATCTGGAAGACCTAACTGGGGTGCTTTAGGCTTGGTAGAGAATGAGGAACGATCTCTATGGTTAGTTAAGGTGTTGTGGTAGGCAACTCAGATCAGTTAGACAACAACAAGAAGGTCAAAATATACACACACTTATGTCATTCGAACTCAATCGACAACCAACAACGCAAGACACGAAGATCATAGTCTCGCTGACTGAATAAAATTCGCAAGCATAAATCATGAGGCGATCAGTTTCCACAGAACTCAACAATTCGGTTTCAAAGTCCACCAACAAACGTTGCTGAAAAGGTGCACCAGATGATGGGAAAAACACCGGAAGCTTCTATAGCAACGTTGGACGGCTAAGGGGTAAGCCATTTTAGATCAGGAATATGTGCTCTCAGATGGATCTGCAGATCATAATCTTAACTGAAACAGGGAAATTCCACATCACTGCAGACGACGAAGTGAGATTGCAATGCATAAAACTCTTCCGATACAACTGGGTACACCAAAAAATAGGTGGAATGGCTATCAATATTAACAGCCATTTCAAACTCCAAACACTACTGTAGAATCCTTTTTGAATGTTTTGTTTTTTGGAAAATCCCTCCATGTTTACATATTTTTGTTATGACATGACGGACTTTTTCTGTTGACATTTTGGTATTTTATTTGATTCCAATTTGAGATTTTATCATTGTATATTGTTATTATTTCTATATTTTGTACTTATATTGAAGTTTTTGTGTTTGCTTCTGATCTGTATATATGTTGTTTAAATTTGATCTTTAATATGGCTACAGCCATATTTCGATTGATACAGTAGCCGTTGGACTTAACGTCACTTATCTATCGTTGTTTCGGATACTCTTCGGAGTAATTGTAACCTGGAAGGTGCATTAATTCCAGGTACTGCTTTGTATTTCCATGTTTTTATTAATAAAGACCGCTTTCTCCTAGAATTTTTGCTTTATCTGAAACTTGGACTGGGAGAAACGAGTTCAGGAGTGCACCTACTGGAACCCATTGGAACTGCCACCGTAGAAATCCATTTACAACTACATCTCACCTAACTAATCGGTGACAGAACCATGATGGTTTCGCTTCAACACAAATGACGCAAAATACCTTATTGCAGTGGTTTACTGGCCCCCAATTACCAGGGGTCAGGAAGATATATTTACTGAGGCAATACTGCGGCTGCCACTACTCGGGTTTAATCAAATAACCTTAGCTGGAAAATTCAGCACTCCATCTCTAAATCTCAGCAAACAGGTAAGAACTCCCACTGGTTGGCTTCAATGCAATTATAAGTTCCAGACTGACTGAGTAAGTATGCAACGCCACAAGATGGACCGAGGATAGAAAACCTTCAATCTTGGATTACTAGTTAACAAATGATCGGCTCTTGATCGGGGATTTCCATATACACACATAAGAAGGAAGTAGCCATCACAGTCCAGTTACATTTAACATGGTCATAAACGAACTACTCAGGAGGTACCAAAACGAGCCGTACGTTTACATCACCAGGGCAAACTGCATATGCATGAGAGAGGACCTTCTAAACGCCTCATGACCAGGGGAATCGTGAGTTTTTAGTCGAGAATCATTGGCAAACATTTAGAGACATCTTTCACAATGGTGTCCTACACGATTTGCCTCAGGCAAATCACGTACCCGGAAACAAAAATAATATGGTAATGGAGAGGCATTAAAAGCTTGATACTGGCGAAAAGGAGAGCCTGGTAAATATGGAAGATCTCTGTGATAGATTCCAAGCCTAATTCATTCTTGGCATTAGAAAATAAATGCAATTACAAATTTCGAAGCGATAAGAGACACTTTCGATAAAGCTAGCTGTCAAAATACCGGCAAACCCAAAATATATCATGACTGTAAGAAAACCTATTTAGCAGAGTGTTTGTGCTTTCACATGTTCAGTTAGCGAAGATCTTAACTAAGTGGAGCTGGCTGAGAGCTTTAGTACTTACTTCACCCATTGGTACCTACATGTTCAGAGTACCACTCAAACATAGTGCCAACTGACTGTCTAGGGAATATCCCACTAACTCTTGACTTAGTAGCGAGAAAGCATTTGCCGTATAGTCCTAAAACAGTGTTCAGAAGCCTTCAGTTCATAGGTATATAACCTGTTCAGGAATTCCTTGGAATCACACAGACTCCCAGATGAATGGGAGCAAGCAACTCTACAATCTCTAAGGTAAGCGATAGGAAGGATCCAGCCTGTTACGGACTAGTCATATTACTACCGATGCTGTCAAAGGCGTTAGAAGGATTGGTGAATGAGCGAGTGAGGGAGTATGTGGGTAAAATTACGTCCTCTATGATGTTCAAGACGGGTTTAGGAAAGACAGGTTATGTGCACTCAATCTTCTCAAAACATGGGACAGCTACCCTGAGAACAGGAAGCGAAGAGTTACAATGAGTTTCTAAAGGGCCTTATATCACTTGAGGAATGGGCAGTTAAAAATGGGTTGAAGCTTAACCCATTATGACCACTCTACCTTACGTGACATAAAAAACTTACACGCTCAATGAATGTCCACTTTTTAATGCCTTCTTAGAGCGCGATCTCCGTCTTATAATGAAAGAAAGCACTGGAACCATTTTGAACTATACAGGGGATGCAGCCAAGGCTAACGCGCCCCTTCACTTTACGCGAAGACAACTTGGTACAATCCCCCACAATTGTTCTTGCCTTTCTTTAAAAGATACGCGCAACCACACTTTGAAGTTCATATGGTCGTCGCACCCCATCTCCATAAAAGAGATATAAATTTCTTGGATATAGTGCTAAGAGGAACAACTAAATGGGTATAGGGTTAAAGGATGAACCTTACAAAGATGGACTCCAAAACTTGGGATTATTCACTTTGAGTAACAGGAGAATCAGAGGTGATCTGGTGGAATCATCCCAGCATGAGCATCTTGAAAAAATATCACTACCACGCCCCTAGATGTAAGCTCGAAAAGTTGCACTTCAAAGAGCGAAAACCCAGTTTTGTGCACACGTTTTATCATTAGAAATTGTCACAAGCTGGAGTGATCTCCCAGTCGAAGTGACTATAGCATTCTCAGTGGATGGCTGTAAAAAGAAACTTGGTCAACATCTGCTCACATATGGATTATCATCTCCCGCATGGACTAGCTGTGCCTGATGCATGTCCTGAGATTTGAGAGTAGTTTGCTCAAATTATATTTCTCGCTTATTATCTCTGTTTCTTATTTTTTGTTGATGCTTAAGTTCTCACACAATCTTCAATGCCAATTTATCAACTTCTTTATTTATTCAAAAAGTTCTGGACTTTCCCTCTTCTTATCAGCATAAGATTTGTCTTCTTCTTACTATTAAATCTGAACCGACTGATCTCCAGCCCGGTGACGTGATAACTGCTGGTGTTGAAAAACCATGCTGTCCTGAGAAAAATGCACTTGCTCAAACCACGGGAAGTCGAAGTTACTAGACAACTCAGTAGAACTAAGGCTAGACTGTTGTACATTGGACATTACCAAATATCATACCGAAAGAAACAATCCGTTCATACTGGCTTGCGAAAGATATTGGACATTGGAAAGCGCTCATGACAAATTACTAACGTTTAGCACATGTTCGCTTTCAGGAAAATTCCGCGTAGGAAATCGCAAAAACTTTACGATAACACCGATGATACTAGTGATCAGAATGGCGCAAAATTTTTCGTCTCTATGTTTGAATCCAAGAAGGCTCAGGCAACTGTTTACTTGTCAAGTAGACGTAGATATTCCTGTTTCATTTTACTTGGTCGGGCAACACACCTCGCAGTTTTTGGCAAAGCGAGACTTACTCACTTATGTGGACCAATGATTACTATATTGGGAGGAAATATTGGATCAAATCCATCCACTTCATTTGATATCTATTCATCTACGTCACACACTCCAATATCTATTACTCAGAACTTGCAAGAACATTCAGAATATGTACCTCATGAAAATGTTACTCAGGAACTTCAGTCTCCTGAAATCAAAGTTACCTTAGAAAGTTTGTGTGATGCAAATGATATTCAGATTGTGACAGAACATCTTGTAAGGGAAATGAGTAGTTTCCAGGACCATGTAACCGTCTTACATTTTTGCCCACATCAGAATCGGATTCTGGACTCACTTTCTGAAATTAGGCGGTTCCGTTTTCTCTTTCATTGGCCGTCGGAAGGCGTCATACCAAATACCTCCTTAGCCAAGTCTCTTGGATTTACCTTCCTCGAACATGATGGTAGCCTTGGGTATCAGGTCGCACCAGAAGTTTTGTGTATTCAACCGAGACTCAGCGCTGCCTCCAAAGTCACTCATCATCGTAACTGGGTGGGGAAATTATTAATTTGTGGCCCGAAGGGTTCCGGAAAATCATCATTACTACGGTTTTTAACAAACAAAATCCTTACAGATGTAGAATATCCTTCGGCAGAAAAGTGCGTTGCAGTTCTTGATTGTGATATTGGACAACCTGAATTCACTCCGAATGGAATGATTAGTTTGTGTTTAGTTAAGCTGCCATTGTTTGGTCCTCCATTCACTCATATACTCTCCACTAATGTAAATATCATTCGGTAAGTTTTTATTTATTAACATTTTAAGTACAATAGTCCACACTGCAAACGTAGGTACAGTTAGTCTGTGTGTAATTATATCATTTTATCTCTACTCACCTAGTACGATTATAATTTTATCAGCATTGTAGGATCGTGTACATAATCTTTGTCCCTTGAAAAGTAGAAGTTTGGGATTTTTCTTTCGGATAAAAAATAAAAATTAACAGAATCTGTTGCTCAATCATGACATTTTATCTGTCAATATTCGATGTTTTTATTTAGCTGATAAGTCAGTCAGTCAGTTACAAAGCAGTTCAAGCTGCAATACCTCATTAGCACAGAGACATAATTGTTAATTCGAATCCCATAGTAGTAAAGGTAGTAAAAGTATTTATAGATATCGGAGAGATTGGGGTTCGATGTTATTCAAGAAGTATATTTCAGTGAGGTAAGTTCAGAAAGACAAAGGTACAAGTGTTGACGAATCCAGAAGATTAGGATTTGAGAGAACACAAAGAGTAAATGCACCTGCATCATTGCAGACGATTTCGAACCATGCCATTCAAGATCTCTAACCACCGGTGACTTTCGTCTCGCGGACCCCAACCAAGTAGCCTACATCAACCAACATGACTCAGTCCACTTGTCAGTGACTTCATGCATTTCTGCCATGTTTTGTTTGGCCGCCCCTAGCCTTCTTCCAACCTATTCCTACACCACAAAACATAGTTCGTCGAGGCAGTCGGTGGTTAGGCATGAGTAACACATGTCCCAACCACGTCAACTGATGTAGTTTCAATACTTCGTCTATTGATCTGCCATCCTTACCTAAAACTCGTTTCCTAACGACAGCATTGCATATATGGTTGTCCCACGATACACGAATAATGCTTCGGAGACACCGATGATCGAAGACTAGTAACCTCTACTCTTAACGGCTATGTTTCGCATCCATATAGGAGAACGGAGGGAAGTGCTGAACAGTAGACTCGTTCTTTGGTTAGCAAGCGGATATCTCGACTGCGCCATATGTGACGCAGGTTGGCAAAAGCCAATCGAGCTTTCTGTATTCGTGCTGAGATTTCGTCAGTCACCAGTCCATCAGCACTGATGAGACTCCCCAGATAAGTGAAGCGGTCTACACACTCGACTGCTTCACTCTTTATCAGTAGTTCAGGTGCCGATGCAACCCAATCTTGAAGCAACATTTTGCATTTCGAGAGTGAGAACCGCATCCCGAACATGCTTGCATTGTTGCTTATGGTAGTCAGAAGACTGCATTTTGTCAGCGTCTTCACCAAGTAGGACTATGTCATCGGCATATTCTAGGTCAATAAGCGGTCCTCCTGGTCGAAGGTCCTCCCCTGAAAAATCTGACGAGGATAATGTAAACTCTAAAAGGATGTCTACGACAAAGTTAAACAAGAATGGAGAGAGCGGACAGTCCTGACGGACACCTCTTGAAGTAGAGAATTCAGATGTCAGTTCGTCATACGCTCTCACTCGCCCAGTGGTGTTCGAGTATAGAGCTTGTATAAGGTTAATTTACTTCTTTGGTATACCTTTCAATGACAGACTGCCACAGTATCTCACGATCAACAGAGTCGAACGCCGCCTTAAGGTTCAGGAAGATCAATTACATTGTCTCCTGACTGTTTTTCTTGTTGTTCCTGAAATATATTCTTAGCTCTGCTATCATTAGGTAGAACCCTAAGTGGTTTTCCTGCGGTGTCTTTCGTACGTCCGGTATGTCGCAAACAAATACACGCTCACACTAGAGTTTGATATGAATCTAGACATGTGCCCCAGAACGAGCGACAGTCCTCTATCGAACCTCTCCATCGGTGGCTGATGGCCATGTGATCTAGTTGGGTCCAACGCTGAGACAACTTCGGAGTTCGCCAGGTCAAAAGGTGCTTTATCTTATGCCTAAAGTTAGTGTTTGCTAAGAATAGGCGGTTATCTGAGCATATTTGTAACAGACGGTCGCCATTGTCTGTTCTCTGAGCCGCGACACCATAACATCCACCTAGATGTCTTTCATTTTCACTTAGTCTACCTACCTGAGCATTAAAGTCACCAGCCAGTATTACTATATCAGAGTGCCTAGCTTTCTGGAGGAGGTCCGAAAGCTTTCTGTGGAACTCTATCTTTCTCCTTCTGAATTTCTCTCACTGAATTATACCTTTCGAATCATATTTTTGCTCCCTAATCTTCTGCATTAGTGCTAATAATTATACTATCGCTATCACTCTTGTATTTGAATTACGAGTTGAGAGAACACAAAAAAACAATGCACCTTTCCCATAGCAAACGGTTTTGGGCCATGTCATCAAGGGTCACTAATCACCGATTACTATTATCTCGCGGGCCTCAACCAAGTAGTTGACACCTACCAACATGGCTTAGTCCACTTGTCCGTGACTTTATGGAATTGTGCCAATTTTTGGTCTGGCCGCCCCTAGCTTTCTTCCAACGTATCCCTAAATCGCGAAACATACCTCGACGAGGCAGTCGATGGTTAGGCATACGTTACGCATGTTCCAAACACCTGTTTATGCTTGTGTTCGAAATGTTGTTACTTGAACTTTTCTCATAATCAGTCAGTCAGTCAGATGCAGCGTAGAACTTTGTACGTAAGTACATCAGTTCATGTTGCCATACCACATCAGCACAGAGATATTATTGTCAATTCAAATCCAATAGTAGAAGAGGTAGTAAAGGTATTAGAAGTAATCGGAGAGGTTAGGATTAGAAGATATTATTCAAGAAGTATGATTCAATGAGAAAATTTTAGAAAGTCAAAACTAGAGTTGTTGAAGAACCCAGAAGATTAGGATTTGAGAAAACACAAAGAATAAATGCACCGGCGCCATTGCGAACGATTTTGAGCCATGTCATTCAAGGTCTCTAACCATCGATTATTATCATCTCGCGGACCCCAACCAGGTAGTCGACAATTACCGATATGGCTAAGTCCACTCGTCAATGACTTCATAGATTTCTGCCATGTTTTGGTCTGGCCGCCCCTAGCATTCTTCCAACCTATTCCTACACCACAAAACATAGTTCGTCGAGGCAGTCGGTGGTTAGGCATGAGTAACACATGTCCCAACCACGTCAACTGATGTAGTTTCAATACTTCGTCTATTGATCTGCCATCCTTACCTAAAACTCGTTTCCTAACGACAGCATTGCATATATGGTTGTCCCACGATACACGAATAATGCTTCGGAGACACCGATGATCGAAGACTAGTAACCTCTACTCTTAACGGCTATGTTTCGCATCCATATAGGAGAACGGAGGGAAGTGCTGAACAGTAGACTCGTTCTTTGGTTAGCAAGCGGATATCTCGACTGCGCCATATGTGACGCAGGTTGGCAAAAGCCAATCGAGCTTTCTGTATTCGTGCTGAGATTTCGTCAGTCACCAGTCCATCAGCACTGATGAGACTCCCCAGATAAGTGAAGCGGTCTACACACTCGACTGCTTCACTCTTTATCAGTAGTTCAGGTGCCGATGCAACCCAATCTTGAAGCAACATTTTGCATTTCGAGAGTGAGAACCGCATCCCGAACATGCTTGCATTGTTGCTTATGGTAGTCAGAAGACTGCATTTTGTCAGCGTCTTCACCAAGTAGGACTATGTCATCGGCATATTCTAGGTCAATAGGCGGTCCTCCTGGTCGAAGGTCCTCCCCTGAAAAATCTGACGAGGATAATGTAAACTCTAAAAGGATGTCTACGACAAAGTTAAACAAGAATGGAGAGAGCGGACAGTCCTGACGGACACCTCTTGAAGTAGAGAATTCAGATGTCAGTTCGTCATACGCTCTCACTCGCCCAGTGGTGTTCGAGTATAGAGCTTGTATAAGGTTAATTTACTTCTTTGGTATACCTTTCAATGACAGACTGCCACAGTATCTCACGATCAACAGAGTCGAACGCCGCCTTAAGGTTCAGGAAGATCAATTACATTGTCTCCTGACTGTTTTTCTTGTTGTTCCTGAAATATATTCTTAGCTCTGCTATCATTAGGTAGAACCCTAAGTGGTTTTCCTGCGGTGTCTTTCGTACGTCCGGTATGTCGCAAACAAATACACGCTCACACTAGAGTTTGATATGAATCTAGACATGTGCCCCAGAACGAGCGACAGTCCTCTATCGAACCTCTCCATCGGTGGCTGATGGCCATGTGATCTAGTTGGGTCCAACGCTGAGACAACTTCGGAGTTCGCCAGGTCAAAAGGTGCTTTATCTTATGCCTAAAGTTAGTGTTTGCTAAGAATAGGCGGTTATCTGAGCATATTTGTAACAGACGGTCGCCATTGTCTGTTCTCTGAGCCGCGACACCATAACATCCACCTAGATGTCTTTCATTTTCACTTAGTCTACCTACCTGAGCATTAAAGTCACCAGCCATTATTACTATATCAGAGTGCCTAGCTTTTTGGAGGAGGTCCGAAAGCTTTCTGTGGAACTCTATCTTTCTCCTTCTGAATTTCTCTCACTGAATTATACCTTTCGAATCATATTTTTGCTCCCTAATCTTCTGCATTAGTGCTAATAATTATACTATCGCTATCACTCTTGTATTTGAATTACGAGTTGAGAGAACACAAAAAAACAATGCACCTTTCCCATAGCAAACGGTTTTGGGCCATGTCATCAAGGGTCACTAATCACCGATTACTATTATCTCGCGGGCCTCAACCAAGTAGTTGACACCTACCAACATGGCTTAGTCCACTTGTCCGTGACTTTATGGAATTGTGCCAATTTTTGGTCTGGCCGCCCCTAGCTTTCTTCCAACGTATCCCTAAATCGCGAAACATACCTCGACGAGGCAGTCGATGGTTAGGCATACGTTACGCATGTTCCAAACACCTGTTTATGCTTGTGTTCGAAATGTTGTTACTTGAACTTTTCTCATAATCAGTCAGTCAGTCAGATGCAGCGTAGAACTTTGTACGTAAGTACATCAGTTCATGTTGCCATACCACATCAGCACAGA